CTAGTCAATGTTTGAGATAGCAGCAAAAGAAAAGAGGGCTTACCAAATACTGTCTATGACAGGATGTCAGAGCACAGTGGAACTCCACTTTAGACATGGTGAAAAGAATTTGGAACAGTAGAGGGCAATCCATAGTCTATCTTCCCATCACTCCTACCCCATTGAGGCATGATGATTTGACAATAAAAGGGCAGCTAGTGTCCGTTCTTACTCTATTTAGGGAACAGAAACTTTGAGCCAAAGTAAAGTTAGTTTGGGACAGGCCATCCTCTTGTTCACCCACCTCATTAAAAATTAAATAAATTTACTCCTGCTTTTGCTCCTGCCCCTTTTTAGCAGTTTTGTCCTCCCTGACTGAGTCTTGCTTCGTCTTGCTAGTCTTGATAGAGCACTGTTTTTTTCACACTGATCAATGGTCAGTGACGCTACAAACTGAATGTGTGGAAAAGCTTTGCTCTTCTAAAAGTGGAAGGGGTGAATGGTTCGTCATTAGTCCATACGCACTCACTTTTTCCTGAGAAAACAAACTGACCATCCTTCAGGGTGGAAAAAGCAGTGTAACATCAGCTTTTCAAAATTGTGTCTTCAGAGGTAGTAGGCGAAGACACATCACAAGGTTCAGCCAGGCCAGGGAAAAACCACTACAATGGAATTCACTTTAAATAAGGGGAGCAGGTGTAATTGAGTTTTAAAGAAGGTCATTTTAAAAAAATATTAGATGAAAATATCAGTGGGCACTTGACGATCCATTTATCCCTTCCACCCCGGGAAGAACAAAGCTTCCCCACACTTTCAGTCTATAACCAACAGTGCTAGAAAAAACCCAGTGCCCTAAATACTAAAATGCTAAGGGTAAAATAATATTGCTGCTGGTCTGTGTGCGTCAATAGATACAATCAAAATGTCTGAAAGAATCCTGATTGTATAGATTGTTTACTGCTTGTCCTTTCGCCCCTCTATTGGTCAGTTGCCACTTCATCTGTGGATAGAATCAACATTTCTAACCATATGTCATGTTTTGTTTTGCACGTCTTGATTGGATAGGAGATACAGCCCATGATTGAACAAAACATAAAGAACCCAGCTTCTTTTCCATTGCACTTTTTTTCTGGCCCCGGCAATGGTGCTCCAAATCATGTGTCAAAACAAACTTGGTCATGTATTGCGTGATTCGTTTTCGTCATCATTAGTCTATGTAATGGTTTAAAAAAAATCGGGAACTTGGACAATCTCCTGATCAACCCAATTTCAGATTATTTGCAGTTTGTAACAAATCTCCACGTCTACCAAATGGTCAAAATCTAAATGTTAACTAGTGATGTCCCGAACGGTTCGCCGAACGGTTCGCCACCAACGGTTCGCCACGGACTCATCATTGAGTAAACTTTGACCCTGTACCTCACAGTCAGCAGACACATTCCAGCCAATCAGCAGCAGACCCTCCCTCCCAGAACCTCCCACCTCCTGGACAGCATCCATTTTACATTCATTGTGAAGCTACATTCTTAGTGAGCTGTCCAGGAGGTGTGAGGGTCTGGGAGGGAGGGTCTGCTGCTGATTGGCTAGAATGTGTCTGCTGATTGTGAGGTACAGGGTCAAAGTTTACTCAATGATGAGTTTGTGGCGAACCGTTCGCGAACCGTTTGGCGAACCGTTCGGGACATCACTAATGTTGACCGAATGTGCACTGAATCTGTATGGTAAAATACTATTTTATACAGTCATCCGAGAATCAGCTTCGGTAAAATGGAGCAAAAATGCTAAAATATATATCCTGCAAAGTATATGTATATATAGGCATTCCCTTTTGGTTCATCTATATAGATTTTCCTGAATCATTTGCATGAACAACAAGCTGAAATGCCGCATTGACAAAATTCTGTAGTCCGAATTAAATTTTATTTTGAGCTTAATCAATTCACCTGTGCAGTACATGCACAGTATCATTTCATCTTTTCATCCTGCAGAAGTTGTAAAAATTTGCCTCGTTAATTTAGACAATGGTAAAACTCAATAGAAATAAAGTTGCTATAATTCTTTCCTCTTACCTTAGACCTACATTTCTTGATTTGCACTCAAAATTCATAATATTAGACTGTTGATTTTTTTAAATTTTTCTTTCATATGTATTGTTCTAATAAAATTGCCTTTTAAGCAGCTTTGAGTGTCTGGACTACACTACTTTCACAAGTAAAAGTGAAAAAAAGTGAAAAACTATCCAAATCTGCAATGTTTTGGCTATATTAGCCACATATATTAAATTTAATTTAAACTCACTTTCAGTTCCAGACAGTTCACATTTTAGTGAATAACCTTAAAAGTCTTTATTTCTGAAATAAAGCACCATCATTAATGAAGTCATATTATTTTGCCTTCTCTTATCATAAAAAGACCGTCCATATTCTTAAGCAAAGCTCAAGAAAAAAAATAAACATTTGCTGGCATATCACATCCAAGCTCAAAGGCAATTATGTTTAGTGCTTTGCTTATTCTGTCAAACAATAATAGTGATAGCATCAACAGCTCATAGTTTAGAAAAAATTATGTTTAAATATAATGTTACATGTAGCTATTTATCTTAAGGGATATAGTGTAATTAAATATGATATCTTTAATTCTAAGGTAACCTGATAATACAAATTGTAAACACCATATTAATTTTACTGTCAGCTGCACTTTAGAAATGTCTTGATATATCACAAAATATGCCTGTTTTTGTTGACCTGTTCGGGATATAAATAAATTAGCAAATGGTTGTTCTTTCCAGATGTAATAATTAGCAATTTTTTAAGAATAATGGATACTTTAAAACATTAAACAGGAGGGTACACAAACAAAAGACTGCCAATATAATTTGAACAGTGCTCGTAATGTGCAACTATATGGACAAAAGTATTCGGACACCTGACCATACACCAAAAGAGACTTTTATGACATCACATTCTAAATACATAGAACATTTGTGAAGTCAGACACTGATGTTGAATGAGAAAGTATGACTCGCAATCTCTGTTACAGTTCATCCCAAAGGTGTTCGATATCATTGAGGTCAGGGCTCTGTGTGGGCCATTCAAGTTCTTCCACACCAAACTGAGCCAATTATGTCTTGATGGACCTTGCTTTGTGCACTGGGGCACAGTCATGCTTGGTTGGAAAAGTGCCTCAAAACTGTTCCCACAAAGTTGGAAGCATAGCTTTGTCTAAAATTGTATGCTGAAGCCTTAGGATTTCCTTTTACTGGAAGTATGGGACCTTGTTCTCCCCTAAAAAATAGCCCCATACCATTATCCCTCCTCCACCAAACTTTACAGTTGGCCCAATGCAGTCAGGCAGATAACTTTCTACTGGCATCTGCCAAACCCAGACTTGCCCATCAGACTGCCAAACAGAGAACGTGATTCATGACTCAGCCAAACATGTTTCCACTTCTCCAGTGACCAGTGGCAGCATTCATTACATAACTCGATCCAACGCTTGGCATTGTACTTGGTGATATGAGGCTTGCATGCAACAGCTCGACCATGGAAACCCATCCTATGACGCTCCTGCCGCACAGTTTTTGTGCTGATATTTATGCAAGTTGAAGTTTGGAACTCTTCAGCTATGAAATCAGCAGAGCTTTGGCAACTTTTACGCACCATGCACTCGGTGACTCTACATGGTCTTCCGCTTCTTGGCTGAGTTGCTGCTGTTCCTAAACGCTTCCACTTACCAATAATACCACTTACAGTTGACTGTGGAATATCTAGCAGGGATGAAATTTCACAAACTGACTTCTTGCAAAGGCATCTCATCACAGTGCCATGCTTGAATTCACTGAGCTCTTCAGAACATTAATTTCTCAAATGTTTGTAAATGCAGACTGCATGGCTAGGTGAATACAAATACACTAAAACAGGCATAGGCAACCTTTGGCACTCCAGATGTTTTGGACTACACCTCCCATGATGCTTTGCCAGCATTATGGGTGTAAGAGCATTATTGGGGATGTAGTCCACAACATCTGGAGTGCCGAAGGTTGCCTACCCCTGCAATAAAATAAGTCCTTCGTTCAAACTCCCACTACTCCTGGGTGGCAGCAACAGCCATAGCAAACATCAGACCCAATACATACAATAAAAATCAAAGAAAAAAAGAGTTAGCTGTGCACTGGCTCAAATCCCAAACTCTTTTTTTACATTTTTTTTTTCATTGTCTATATTGAGGCTGATGCGTGCTATAGTCATTGCTGCCACCCAGGAGTAGTGGGACTTTGAGCACAGGACTTATTTTCGTGTATTTGTATTTACTTTTGTATCTTACAGCTATGTTATAATGCTGCAGCCCATCCCATGTGTTCCCTATTAAGGGTTAATAATTATGTAGGGAAATTGAAAACTACCCTTCTCTGTCTCAGTAGAGATTTCTTTGCCTGAGGCTGAATGAAGCAAGGTGAAATGTTAGTGTACTACTCACCTAAGAGGTTTGCCTTGCCGTGGCAGGTGGGCTTACATCTAAGAGCCATTTATTTAAATATGCATAAGGAATTTGGGCTAATGTGCAGGTAACTCTTTTTTTCTCGGGGCTTGATTTTATATAATGGTCTGATTGAAACACCTGAATTCAATAATTAAGAGATGAGTCCCAATACCTTTGTACATATAGTGTATAAGACTTAGGAGCCCACTGTATTCTTAATAAAAATCAATCTTTATTATATATTTTTTAAAATTATTATTACTTTAAATATTATAAATTAAATATCACTCTCCAAAATAGCATCACCCAGTAAATGACCTTAATTGACACGTAAATGAAATCCACACACCAAACCTGCAATACACGTATTGACATGAATAACCAACATTACACAACGTTTCTCAAACAGAATGTCAAAGTGCCTCAAGGCATGAGCATATGCTTAATGTATGCAGGAGAGTGTTCCTAAGCCCCCCCCTTTATATATTCCAATGCTTTTTGAGAAGGGAAATTATTTCAAGAAAAGTTGTTTGCATTGTAGTAAGAAACCCTCGACTTCTCTCATGCTATAGGCAGTGTTTTAAGGATTATGGATATGGGATTTGTCTCCAGTGTTGTCATTTTGTTTTATTGGCCGCCTACTACTGACTAAAGTGACACTACATTTAGTGAGTATCGGGTGTTTGCCATCTGTAAAATTTCACCTGAGGTGACAGGGAATTAAGCTACTTAACCCCATAATGTCAGTTGGCGTTCTATGCCGTCCTGCACAAGCCAGGCTTTATTGCTGCAGTCTTAAACAGTCCCCCTGCTGCCAGTAAAGCCCTTCAGTGCCATGTGATCGCTCTGCCTACAGGGGGACTGCCTTGGATTTTCAGGGGCCAGAAAGGACCAGGAAGGGGCATATTACATAGATACCAATGACAAGGATGCCCCCAAAAGTGAGTGTGTTAGTATAACTTCCCTCCAGAGCATTCAACGCAATGACCCTGCTAAAGTGCTCTCGGAAGGGCTAAATGTCCTGTTTTTGTTTCTACACACAAACAAATGTAATGATATGCCAGTATCTTGTCTCTGGTGTCCTCAATAATGGAATACCAAAGGACAAAAGTGGAACAAGGCTGTTAAAGTGTGTTGTGTATGTGTGGGGATGCTCCCTGTGGTTTTATATGTGTTTGGAGGTTAATTGTGGGATTGCATGTGTGTCGGTTGTATGTGTTTGGAGGTTGCTTGTGGGATTGCATGTGACTGATCCTGTTGTTGTGTGTGTAAAGGGATCTGTTTGTGATGTGCTATGTGTGGCTAGGGGCTGTAGTGTATTATATTTTTTTCAAATTATTATTACCATAAATATTATAAATTAAATATCACACTCCAAAATAGCATCTGTGGTGTAAATTGTGTATGTTTTTATGTGTGTGCATAGGGGGTGTAGTGTGTATATCATTTTTGTTGCTGATTTTTGGACCTTTGCTGAATATTCCAGTCTCCTTCAGGTCAATGAGCTGAAGTAGCTGCTGAAATAGGAATTGGTTTCTCTGCATTTTAAAATAGGTTAGCAAGGGTTCATAATTTTCTTTGAAGAATATTTCTCCTGCTGATTCACTGTGAGAAAACGTTTTATGAATATTGGACTTATTATTCAGCTTTGGTTGCACATCAATTTACAATGTGTACTTACAATGTATATTTATATGGGAAGCAAAGTTAGGTACCAATTTACTCATATTTAATAATAATAATAATAAGAATATTTAACATAATATATACAATCCTGCATTGTGTGGTGGGAGACGCTATCCCTGCCTTATTCTCTGTAATGTACGGCTTGAGTGACATTCTGCAGTATGTGGAAATTTTCCCAACCATCCAAGATTAGTGAGCGTTAACTTATCAGCTGCGTTTTACAGCTGACAACAATTTTTTTTCAGGCCTCTCTCCATAATCATATGGGGGGAAGGAACTGAGGCAACAGAAACTGCACAATTCTGTCTCCTCAGTTCCTCTCCAAGCATATCCCTATTGAAAGTAGCCAAATTAATGGTGGCAGTTGTATTTGCAATTAGCATACATTTTGGGTAGAGGTACATGTAATCATGACAAACAATGTATCCCATGCATTAATCTGCTAACACCTACACTAACCCTAGAGCTGACCTTACACTAATATAGAAGATATAGAATTAAAAAGGATATACTATCTAAGGTAAAACAATGTCAACTCAGTGTTCTGGAGACATTTTATTATGAGCTTATGATGATGTATCAAGAAACCCTCAATAGCATTACTTTCCACATTACAAACAACCTAACCCTACCCCGCACCTTACTCTAACTCACCAACCATAAACCCTGAAAAACATGTAATTTAACAGACACTCAGAGAAATTGAGATACATGCATTATGGGAAAATAATGCCCATTAGGGGTTCTAAAGACACCATAATATCCACCTTTCTATAACTCGGTAAGAGATTGTGCCCTTGTATGAGTAGAGGAATTAGCATAGAATTGGTTACATTGAGTGGTCTGCTCGGGCTCCAAATTTATTATTTTTATGACAATGGTTTACATCTGCCCTGCAGCAATAAGGCTAATAACTCTTATCTCAAGTGGCAAAACGCGTGAGAGCTTCAATACCAACATCATCTAAATTGTGCTTACCAAAATGACGTGCAAGGATGCATATATCTCACAATCAAACATCAAAAGGCAGAGGACTGCTTTGGTTCCAGTTAATTTTAGCACGAGAATGGGATGTCTTTAACTGATTTAAAACAGTGTTTAGGATGTAAAGAAAGTTGAAAAGTCAGAACATATTAGATAGACTTTTATACATATATATATGAGACCTTACACATACTTTATTCATTTAACAGCTATTTACCATACATAATAAAAAAAAAAATCTAGATTATCTTTTTAATTATTTTTATTCAGCTCGTGAGTTGTTTTGTTATATTTAACAAATTAGGCATAGGATATATTCTACAGAATCGTTTTTAATTTTTTTTTTACTTTTCTGAATCTCTCATCCATACATTTTGTTTCTATAACTTGTTCTATATTGGTCTCTCCCAAATTGTCCATTTCAGAATGTATTTTTTTTCCCCTATCACCCAACTCCGGTTTTTGCCTTAAGTTCAAGTTGTATTTCTTATAATCAAAGCAGCAGGAGATGTTCTGAACCTCAGTGCCTTTTAACACACCCTGTCACCATTCCAAATAGCATGTCCCACTCCCCCCTTACCTTTCCTCCTATACAATTTACATTCTCAATGCAATGTATTAAAAAAAAGAGAGAGAAAAAAAAGCTTTGACAGGCCCAAAAATGGTCCACATGGCCTCAGTGTAGAAACCCATTTCCATGATGAATTGCCCAAAGCATCTTGAATCACAAACCGTCTCTTTACGCTCCTCACAAGTTGATTTTCCTCTTTTTAAATCTTCTTAAAGCCTCTCTCCTAATCTTCAGCTGAAGGAGTTAGAAGCAGCGCTCCCCCTCCTTTAAACTAAGAGTCGTATTAGCATCCTGGTTGTTGTGCATCAAATTTAAAAATGCAAGGCTGGTAATATTTCAAATCGGCTTCAGTCCCAGCTTTCCTGATAAGCTCTCTTCCTCTTTTTCGTTGGCTTTATCTCCCTTTCTCTTTCAGTCTTTCTTTTTTTTTTTTTTTTTTTGAGTGTATGGGACTGGCCAGTTACGATAGAAATTCATAGGTATTTGCATAAGCCAACTTTGTGTTAAATATTTTTTTTTTCTATTTGTTTTTTGTCTCTTCACCCCTGAGAATTTCATTTACTATCAAACAAGTGTAGTAATTAATTCCCTTTATTTTAATTTTTCTTCTTTATATTGTTTGTTCTTTTAGGCTTTGTAGTGTATTCTTTCTTCTCTTGCTCAGCCCCTCTTATTTTCTTTGCCGAACCTCTCTGGTTTCTCGCTTACTGTCTATTCCTCTCCTCTGCCTTCTCATTCTCTGACTCTTCTCTTTCCTACCTTGTATGTTTTTTTCTTTGTTGTAATATATATATGAATATATACAGATGCGGCTCTAGACTTTATGAGGTCTTAGGCGAAACTCAAACATGAGGCCCCACTAACAAAAAAGTGAAAACAATAGAGTTGCAATACATGCACACTGTCACATATACACATTGATGCACAGTTTACCTCTGTATGTGCCTGAGAGTGTGTCTGACAGAGAGTATCCGTGTGTGTGTATGTGTGAATGTATGTCTCTGTGAGCATGTTTGCATTTTTGTCTGGGACAAGGGGGAGGGTGGTGATGGTGAGAGGGAGGGGGTGATGGTGAGAGGGAGGAGGTGATGTGAGAGGGAGGGGGGTGATGTTAGAGGGAGGGGGTAATGTGTACACCTGCAACACTAATACAGTCTGATGGTGAGAGGGAAGGGGATGATGTAAGAGGGAGGGGGGTGATGGGGAGAGGGAGGGGGTGTGATGTGAGAGGGGGGTGATGTCAGAGGGAGGGGGGCGATGGTGAGAGGGATGGAGGTGATGTGAGGGGGGATGTGAGAGGAAGGGGGGTGATGGTGAGAGGGGGGTGATGTGAGAGGGAAGGTGGGGATGTGAAAGGGAGAGGGGTGATGGTGAGAGGGAGGGGGGTGATGTGAGAGGCAGGGGAGTGATGGGGAAAGGGCGGACTAAATACCTTTTTTTATTCCCTGGTGGTCCGGTGGGCTCCCTGGTGGTCCGGAGCTGCAGACCATGTATCTCGCAAGACCCGTCAGAGCGTTTCTGTGGTAACCCGTGGCAACGCTCTGATTGCCCAGTTCTCGCGAGACAAATGGTCTGCAGCTATGCACACTGCGGAGCTGCAGACCGGTGTCTGTAATGGCCATACTGAGCATGCCGCCGGGCCCCCTCCTGGTGTTGGGTCCTCGGTCACTGACACAGGACCCGACACAGTCTGCTCTAAAGCGGTTTAGGCGACCGCAAGGCCCTAGCCAGCACGAGGCCTTAGGCAGCAGCCTAAACCACCTAATTAGAGAGCCGCCTCTGTATATATGTTGTCATTATTGTGACAAAGTCCTCTTTTAATAAGCAAATGATTTAATCTGTACACTATGCTTTTTAAATGGCCAGCAAATAAATACAGTCTATTTGGAGTCGGTAGCAATAAGCAATCTGTTTAGTGTCAGTGCTTTTTTTTCGCAGATGAGATTAAGAGTTGGTTGTAAAGTTCTCAGGACTTAACATGCAATTATGTTTTTTTTTTTTTTCAAACTTGTATTCTTGAAATGAAGTCTAATTCATTAATATTATGTCACACTTGATGGGGACAAGGGTTCAATGGAAAAGTGTTAAAGAGCAAGACTGCGTAGTATCGGGCAGTGATATTGTGAACCATGCAACACCTATTTGACACAAATGTATTTATTTTTCTGCAGTAGTGAGCTGTAGGAGATTATGTTGGACTTAACTCGTGGCATCTTTACTTGTTCTGAGCACTCTGCGGCCTTTGCTTGTGAAAATCAGGCAAGTAGGCTGAAGCAATCCGGGCCGCACTTTTGCTGCATATTCCATGACACAAAAAAGTGACTGACTCTAAATACTATTTTTTAAAAATGTGCACTCATCTTCTGCAAGCTTTTTGCTTAATCTGTGCTTTTTGCTGTAGACTGGGCTGATAAATTGGCAGATACAATAAAGATAAATATTGCTAAATACCTTGTTTTTCCGTTGGCTGCAAATGGCTGCTAGGGCATAGACCGGAGGCTGCTTTCAATTCAACTAGGCCTCCTTTAAAACAGAGGTAAGCAACCTTTGGTATTCCAGTTGCTAAGAAACAAGTCCTGCACTCAAACTCCTATCACTCCTGGGTGGCAGCAATGACCATACACATCAGCCAAAATACATATAGTAAAAACCAAAGAAAAAAAACGTACCTGCGCTCTTTCCACATCCCTATGTATTTTTAAACAAATTGAGGTTTTTAGTTACCTCCAATGGCCATGAGAGGGTATGTCCACCTGCCACGTCAAGGCAGATATCAAATGCTGTTGACTACATCTCCATTGATGCGTTACCAGCATTATGGCTGTAATAGCATTATGGGAGATGTAGTCTACAACATGTGAAATTACAAATATTGCCTACCTCTGCTACAAAACCTTCCTGCTTTTAACTAATTTGCTTTTGGACAGAACACCGAGCATGATGGGTGATTTGCAGGAGTCCATAGACATTCCATACATCCACCAATGTAACTTGATACTAGATAAATATTTTTTTCTCTCTATAGCTGTCAATCTATATAATTTGTATCAATTTGACTATCACAATATACAGATGAAATGATTTGAATGTTATATCAATACTACGCATGAAAAAGTCGGTTTAAATACCAAGCTTATGCATTATGATTCCTAATTAGTAAATGTAACGAATACAAATATTCCTAATTAAAATGTTAAAGTAATATTGTTTGGTTGGGTGGATTGTGTTTTTCGTTTAATGCTGCCCAGCTGGTTTTGAGATTCATTGCTGTACACCTGCAACACTAATACAGTCTGATGATAATTCACTCATTGCATTCACACGTGGCAGCGAATTTCAGTGTGTGTAGATCCCAGCTATTTCTCCCAGGTAAAGCTGAGACGACCTGACTGAGCTGTCATTTTCAATCTGTCACGCAGGTTTGATATTGTATCCAGCTGTCCCATGGCTTGTGGCTTTTCGTGAAGACAGACGTCTGAGTGAGATCAAAGCTGGATCATATAATATATGGGACTTGAAGGCTTTACATAAACTAGAAGAGTTTGATTTAAACCAGATATTAAGGACCTGATTTAGAGTTGGCTAACGAAAGAGCAGAACCACTGAGTGGTTGCAAAATGTATTTTATAAAAATAAAAACGTATATTTTGCTTTGTAGAAAAACAGGTGCAATCGCATTTTTGATTGGTGATGATAGATTAGAATTCCAGAATAAATAAGAACCTCATAGAACCTTATTAAAAGCTGTTTTGACATTCTAGCTAAGCAGTAAAACTTGACCTGTTGATATGCAACATGTTCTACATGAGTGAAAGAAATACATTCCTTAAAAGGAATCTAGATATTGTTTTTTCCACATTGAGTCAAATGTCACATTTACATCTTTGTAAGGACAATCTGTACTATGTCTTTAACAATAACACAAGGTGTATATATGGTCTGATTTTAGGATCTACTTTAAAAATTGCTTAGTGGAACTCAAGCCACCTTGGCCTGAGTTTGTATCTGAACAAATTCTTTGTTTTATAAAGTAACATAAAAACTACAGATTAACATCTTGGTTAGGTTGCTAATTATCTTTAGGAACCATCAAGTGCATGTTTGTCACAACATTAAGGCCAGCACTTAGAGATTGCTGGGTAGTTAAGGCAACTCATTTAAGCATCGCTGATATTCACCCCAGATGTGACTCTTAGGTTCCACATGTTCAGAAACATGATAACTTACTGACTTAGTAACAAGTTTGGACTATATCCAGCTAAGTTTTATATTCAAGGTACTCTCAACAAAACAAAGGAAATCATAACAGGGCAAAGCACAACAAATTGGGATGACTTATAGAAGGCTAGGAACTTTGTGATTGGTTTGCATCATTCCTGCAACTCCAAAAGGTGCAGGAATGATGTAAGAGGAATAATTCAGAGAGGGGTGCATTGTAGCATCATGGAGTCAGAAATTGTCCAAATTGATGCCAGAAGATCGCAAGAGTGGAATGAGGTGACTACCAAAGTCACGATCCACGTGAAAATGACAAGCAACGTCAACAAGGACACCAGTAGGTAAGCACTGTGACAATAATAATTTTATTCTACAATTTGTGGTGTTCAATACAAGAAGTCTTGGTTCTGTTCTTCCATGCCTGCTCTCAGGGAGCAATTGTATTTACTATCCATCTATCAAGTGCATCAATATGATACATGCAAGGCTCTTACACAGAGGTGAACCCATGGGAACTATGATGGACCGCCTGGCACCCTAGTACTTGCGAGTACCATAAACAATGCACTGGAACACCATAACCACCATAAACCCCATGAACCGCCACATCTCGGTTGGGGTCTCACCGTCCTCCACCTACCCTGGACCCAAGACCAGGATCCAGCTCCCAGTGGGTAGACCTCTCCTAGTCCAGAGAGCGTAGCAGGAACAGCTCTTATAAGAGCTAGTGATTATACTAGCAACTGTACTAATTATAATCCAATTATCTCCAAGCACAGAAAAAAACACACTTTTTAAAACACTCCAAAAGTACCCTAAAAATACATAAAACCCCCCATGTTACATCCCCTGATAGCCCTGATCTGGGTGACCAACATATCCAAAAATCACCCAGATCAGTTAAGGGTTTCAGGAATTTCCTGGAAGTCTTATTTTTGACCGACCGTGCACATGGTCCTATACCCAAAACAGTTCCAGGGAATCAGGACTAACGGTCGGTCTCTCTGTCTGGAGTACAAAAGTACATAACTCACATGAACAGAGCCTTTGAAAGTGCATTGGGCAAGGTATATTGCAGGGCCCATAGTCCTGAGGCAAGAGGCTCGCGAGGTGGCCCCTCCAAGAACCAGTGACGAGGTTCAGTTCGTCACAGGAACTCCATTTCCTTACTATATATACATTGACAACAACGTTTCCACATTTCTTTCTGTTAAAAGAGTGCTGACTACAGTACATGAGGATTCATACAGAGATTTGGGCATTTTACAATAGCAGTGAAGCTAATGTGGAAGATCTCTACATTTATTCCTATGCCGTTTTTAAATCATGAGTACTCTGTATATAATCCTTTGATTTTTCCCTTCACACAATACCAACATCATCTGACAGACTGGCACGCTGCCCATGGTGGATTGCCACATTAACAGCCTAAAGTGAGGTAGGTGTGATGAAACAGTTATCTTTCTATGTATGATGAATAGGTCAACAAAAAACACAAATGGCACACTCACCCTTATAGTGCAATGCTAAAATACAATGGATAGTTACATTTTCTTTTTTAAATGTTGTAGATAACATAAGGATACCTCAAATTCCTCAAAATATAAAACAACACAAGAATATATCTACAAATATAAAACAACAAAAATAGAGTAGTATAGTAATATACCTGGAGAAATAAGATTTCAAGGTTAGACTCACAAGTGTCTAATAAAATGCAGGCTCATCTGATATGATGGTAAAATCTCTGATAGGCAAGGTCTTCTATATTTTCAGGAGTGCATGTAAAAGAAACAATGGAAAACCATTGTGATAACAGTGTATGAAGGTACAACCGACTGCTTTATTAAATCGCACTTACAAGATAAAATATAGTTAAAAGACTATCAACAAATCTCTGATATTGCTGGATCAATAGTTAAAGTGCAAATGTAAAATAAACCTGATCTTCCTTTACACTGAATGAAATCTATGATGTTTGCATAAAAATAATGAACAATGGTGCATATGTATCTCACCCTACGCATTTCGTCTCCCAGGAGACATTCTCTGGGGTAATACAATTAAGTATGGTCCACAACATCTAGTACAGTGTCTAGTGACTAGTACAGTGAAGTTGCCATTGTTCCCTTGCGTGCCAGATTACATTGATGTCACTTAAACCATTTAATTATATTAACAAATGGCTGGACTTTTTCCAGACAGACCTCATATATTGCAGACTACGTACACCCCTTCATGGCAATCGTGTTCCCTGATGGCAGGTGCCAGGATAAAACAACCCTTTCACACTGCAAACATTGTTCAGCATTGGATTGAGGCACATGACAAAGAGTTCAAGGTGTTGCCTTGGCCTAAAAATTGCCTAGATTTCAATCCGATTGAGTATCTAGGGGATGTGCTGGAACAACCAATATTATCCATGAAGGCTCCACCTTGCAACTTGCAGAAGTTACATAGTTACATAGTTACATAGCTGAAAAGAGACTTGCGTCCATCATGTTCAGCCTTCCTCACATTTGTTTTTTGCTGTTTATCCAAAAGAAGGCAAAAAAACCCAGTTTGAAGCACAATTTTGCAACAAGCTAGGAAAAAAATTCCTTCTTGACCCCAGAATAGCAGTCAGACTTATCCTTGGATCAAGCAGTTATTACCCTACATTGAAAGATTATATCCTTGAATATTCTGTTTTTGCAAGTGTGCATCTAGTAGCTGTTTGAATATCTGTATGGACTGTGATAAAACCACTTCTTCAGGCAGAGAATTCCACATCCTGATTGTTCTTACAGTAAAAAACCTTTCCTTTGCCTTAGACGAAATCTTCTTTCTTCCAGTCTAAACGCATGGCCTCGTGTCCTCTGTAAAGTGCGGGTTGGGAATAGATTTCCACACAATGGTTTGTATTGGCCCCGAATATATTTGTATAATGTTATCATATCCCCTCTCAGGCGACGTTTTTCTAAACTAAATAGGTTTAAATTTGCTAACCTTTCTTCATAGCTGATTTGTTCCATTCCTTTTATTAATTTTGTAGCCTGCCTATGCACTTTTTCTAGTGCCATGATATCCTTCTTTAGAACAGGTGCCCAAAATTGTACAGCATATTCAATATGGTGTCTTACCAGTGATTTATAAAGAGGCAAAATGATATTCTCGTCCCGAGAATGAATGCCCTTTTTCATGCATGACAATATCTTACTGGCCTTGGCCACTGTTGATTGACATTGCACATTGTTGCATAGTTTGTTGTCTATAACAATTCCCAAGTCCTTTTCGTGTGTTGTTATCCCTAATTCGCTTCCATTAAGGGTATACGTTGCTTCTGTATTCTTTACGCCGAAGTGCATAACTTTGCATTTTTCAACATTAAATTTCATCTGCCATTTGAGTGCCCAGACCCCCAGTCTAAATCCCTCTGAAGCAAATTAATATCTTGCTCACATTGTATTATTTTACAAAGTTTTGTGTCATCTGCAAACTTCAAGATCATTTATAAACTTGTTAAATAGTTTGTCTGTCTTCAAGATCATTTATAAACTTGTTAAATAGAAGGGGTCCCGGAACAGACCCCTGAGGGACACCATTTGCCACCTCTGTCCAGCTTGAAAATATACCATTAATGACAACTCTTTGTACTCTGTTTTTAAGCCAATGTTCTACCCAAGAACAAGCATTTTCATCTAGACCGATTTCCTTGAATTTGAACACTAATCTATTGTGTGGAACTGTATCAAATGCCTTTGCAAAATCCAAATAGATCACATCCACGGCAACACCCTGATCTATACTTCTACTTACTTCTTCGTAGAACGCAATCAAGTTAGTTTGACATGACCTGTGCTTCATAAAACCGTGCTGATTTTTGCTGATAACCATGTTCTTCTCAAGGAATTCTTGAATATTATCCCTTAATAACCTTTCAAATATTTTACCAGCCACAGAAGTTAAGCTCACAGGTCTATAATTTCCAGGCAAGGATTTTAAACCCTTTTTGAATATAGGAACTGTAGGAAATTGGCATTCCGTGAGATGTTTGTTTGTCACATACCAGTTTTCTTAAAAAATCGAATCCAGTATCTTGCAGTTAAAACTTATGTTTATTCAAACATACACATCATCCGGTAATAACATATAGTCATTAACAGTCTTTGTCCAATACAGAGCAATGTTCATGATGTTGTCCATTTTTGATGTTAAAGGTATTGGCCACGAATTTTAAGCTACAATCAGTTTTATAGGTTTAAAATTCAGTTACAGAGGGGCGTATACATAAGATTGCCTTACTTTAAAATAAGTGGCTATCTTAGAAAGAGGGGAGGGAATCTATGATTAAAGCCATACGTTATATTGTTTTGGTAAGTTACCCACAAAGAAGTTCTATATGCATGGTAAATGAATAGATGCCTTTAGAAACATGAGCCTTGGTAATACAGAGGGAGACTGGCTAGCAAAGCTTAGGTCAAAGGTTACTATAAACAGGCCCTTCATCTATCACTCTTAAAGTGAACCAGATGTGGTCTCCATTCCTATACAATGAAAGCCTGTTATACTATAGGACTAGGTATGGCTTCTCAATTTCAGTGTTCTGGAAGTAATCCGAATAAAACTTATAATATTTATATCAACACATTAAATATTTAATAGTTCATAAAATATATTTCAGGAACCACATCTGCCTTCCTCCAATCCTCTGAAACACTTCCTGAAAGAAAAGAATCTTGAAAGATTAAAAACAGAGGTTCACTTATTTCTACACTTAGTTCCTTAAGTACAAGTGGATGGATACCGTCAGGCCCTGGAGCTTTGTTTATATTAACTTTCTTTAGTTGCTGCAGCACCTTGTCTTGAGTTAATCAATTACAATTATTCTGCAAGTTTTTAGTAGCAATCATTTGCACATCTATTGCTATGCGTTCTTCTTTAATACATACAGAGGAGAAATAGTTATTTAAAATTCCTGCCTTTTCCTGGTCTTCATTAACTAACACCCCCGTTTCAGTTTTTAGTGTACCTACACTTTCATTTTTGGATTTTTTTGAATTTATGTACTTAGTTAAAGAATCTGTTGCTAATGTCCTGGAACCAGATACCACAGGACATGTCCAGAGGTCTTGAGGTGTCCATGGCTCGATGCATCAGAGCTGACCTACATGATATTAGTTAGGCGGTTTTGGCTGATCAGTGTATATACAAACACTTCACATTCCTCATAGGCTGTTCACTAAACATTTAATTTTAGGAAGTGAAAATCTGAACTGCATCAATAAGGGCAAAATAGCAGATTTGGAAAAGTTCTCCAACTCAGCTATAGTAATATTTTACAAATGTGTTTTGGGATTTTACCACAGAATATTTAAACCGGAACCACTGTCCATCATCCCTTTAATGCGGTGCAGTTGCCCTGTCCCCTTAGCAGAAAACACTCCCAAAGCATAATGTTTCCACCTCCATGTTTGACGGTGGGCATGGTGTTCTTGAGGTCATAGGCAGCATTCCTCATCCTCCAAACTCCGCGAGTTGAGTTGATACCAAAGAGCTCAATTTTGGTCTCATCTGACCAAAACACTTTCACCCAGTTCTCCATTGAATCATTTAGATGTTCACTGGCAAACTTCAGATGGGCCTGTACATGTGCTTTCTTGAGCAGGGGGATTTTCATGGCGTAATGTGTTACCAATTGTTTTCTTGGTGACTATGGTCCCAGCTGCCTTGAGATCATTAACAAGATCCTACCGTGTAGTTCTGGGCTGATTCCTCACCATTCTCATGATCATTGAAACTCCACGAGGTGAGATCTTGCATGGAGCACCAGACCAAGAGAGACTGACAGTTATTTTGTGTTTTTTCCATTTGCGAATAATCGCACCAACTATTGTCACTTTCTCACCAAGCTGCTTGGCGATGGTCTTGCAGCCCATTCCAGCCTTGTGTCTACAATCTTGTCCCTGACATCTTTGGACAGCTCTTTGGTCTTGGCCATGGTAGAGAGTTTTGAATCTGATTGATTGCTTATGTGGACAGGTGTCTTTTATGCAGGAACAAGCTGAGATTAGGAGCACTCCCTTTAAGAGAGTGCTCCTAACCTCAGCTCGTTATCTGTATAAAAGACACCTGGGAGCCAGAAATCTTGCTGATTGATAAGGGATCAAATACTTATTTCACTCATTGATATGTAAATCAATGTATAACTTTTTTTAAATGACTTTTTTCTGGATTTTTTTATTTGTTATTCTGCCTCTCACTGTTAAAATACACCTACCATTAAAATTATAGACTGATAATTTCTTTGTCAGTGGGCAAACATTCAAAATCAGCAAGGGAACCAAATTGTTTTTTCCCTCATTGTATAGGATATTGCCAAGTGAATCATGTGTATAAGTATACTCTGTGTGTATCCACTGTGAAATGTATTATCTGTTGGATTATACATTGTTATTAGCAAGTCACCTAAAATCTCTCAGCCCAGCCCCGCCACTGGCATCACCCCCACTCACATCCCTAAAATGTCACCAGAACAACTACAGTTTATTGCATTTGTTCTGGTGAGTAGAATCATTGCCTTCAGGCTTTTTACATTACAGCCTAGGGATATCTCCACTGGCCACTCCTTAGATGGCTACTAAAGCTGCTTTCTTTGGGCAGTGCTGCCCTCTGCATGCAGACACTGAACTTTCCTCATAGAGTTGCATTGATTCAATTCATCTCTATGAGGAGATGCTGGTTAAACAGGGCTGTGTTTGACTTGTGCTGGCTCTGCGCCTGATCTGCCTCATTGACAGTCTCAGCCAATCCTATGTGAAAGCATTGTGAATGGCTCAGACCACCACTTCTGATGATGTCAGCAACCAGAGGCAGTTCACAGGCAGAGGCAGCAACTTCAGACTTGAATACAAGTAAGATTTTACTATATTTAGGGAGGCAAGAAGGGACCAAGGGGGCTTGAGGGTGGTTTTAACACTATAGGGTCAGGAATACATGTTTGTGTTCCTGACCCTATAGTGCTCCTTTAAAGTGTCCATCTTTGTCCATTTTAAATATTTGGAGATTAATTAAGCCTACATGTCTTTAAATATTTGGGTGATTATCTGGGGTTTAGTAAATGCATGAATTTCTATTAACTGTTTTAGCTGGTGCATAATTGCCCAAATAATCATTGTGAAAACAAAAAATCTCTGAATTTGACCCAAATTGCAGAAATAGATAAAATGCTCTGTTTTTTGCTTTTGTGCTAGGCAAAGCCTTTACCTGGCTAACAATGTCATCAAGAATGCAATTGAAACTCCTTATCCACTTATAAGACTTCATCACTCCATCACTCCACAACCTTCGTCCCACTTGTATATCTGCACTTATTAAATATTCTTCAACATGGCCTTTCTACGTCTCTAATGACCTAATGTTCTCAATCTTCCTACTGCCAAGACTTTTTCTGAGCTTCCTCACATCTATGGACCTCGCTAACCTCTACTTCTATCCTCTAACAAACATTCTATTAAAACTATAAAGATACAAACTTTTCTAATAACACCCGTTACTCTAAATATCCAGTTATGGTAAATTTGCATAAATAAGTAGCAGTATGGTAATAAATCAATCATGGAATATCCATATCATTGCATAAATTTAAAGGTACAGGAAGGGTTGCTTTTAACTACTGAAAATGCTATATAAAAATTTATTGTCGGCACCATATAAGCATCACTCTTCTTTTTAGATTGGGTGGATATGTCTGCCTGGATTCTGCATTAACACAGGTGGCAGACTTAGTATTTTTTTAATATTAAGCAAGTTATTGCTAATACTATATAATATTGTATTATTTCATTAATATCGGAAAATCTAAGAAATTTAATTTACTTGCAATTTACATAGAGAAGACAAAGATAATCACAGAGTCTAATTTCTAACATGAACAAAAAAAATCTGTTAGTTCAAGTCATCTATTTGTTTAGTGTTTCTATTATTTTCAGGGACAATAGTGCTAGTGCAGTAACGTTGCTTCATTTATAATAACCACACTAGAAAAAAACAACAAACAAAAAAGCAAAAAAACAAAAGCAAAACAACAACAAACCAAACTAGAGGTGAAAACATTGTGTTTAAAATTATTATCCAATTCACATCTCTAATCATTATTCATTATTTAGAAAGCTGCCAACATATTCTGCATAGCTTGTTACAATTCTATGTTTGACTCCAATTTATAACAACGCTCTAGAAGCTAACTCCAAGGACAAGTATAGTCAAAGAAAGAAACGTTATTGTGTTTTACTGCAACCAAGATTTTTTTTTTTCATTAACTCAATAAAAGCATAAGGCTTGTGAGAGAGAATTGACAATTAGAGGAGCAAGAGCAGAATGTAGTACTCCGTCAGGCAGGGCATTAGGTGGTCATGGGAAAGTGAGAGGAATTGTATTACTCAAAGACAAGAGGCAGTTAGCAGGATCGGTCTTTAAGCGCTGGCGATTGTAAATCATAAACTGTTGGGCAGAAACAGGTCAGGATGGACAATAGTCGGTTTATACAGAATGGTCAGTAAAAATAGGCATTCAGAAAATAGGTAAACCTCCAACTGGACCTTTGACATTTGGGACAAATAAACACGCATGACTTGTTGATGCAAGGTTTTGTAGCAGAACAGCAAAATCTAAGGGAATGATGGGCATTACAATTATTGGTTAATATAGATAATACATCGGGGGTATGGTCTGGAGAATGAGAGACATGGTGGCATAGACCCACAGCTCCACTTACACCAGAATTAATGCAGCTGTTAAAGCGGACAGTGCGACTTTTTGTTTTGACAAATAGTAAGACATGATCGGCACTAAGCCAAAGAAGACCCATGCAAAATGAAACACAGTTCTTACCTCAAAAACTGGCAACAGAAGAGGATTCCATGGCCTCAACTCTATCTTGGCCATATGAACAGGCCTCAGACTCCTTGATCTCAATTGCAGTCCTTCTAGAGTCACCAGCCTTCCCAGAAAAGATGAAGCTAATGCTACAGGACCTCAGAAGGACCTGCAATCAGACCATTCTTTGGAGCTGGTTAAAACTATAGGAAAACTGGGAGAGAGGACAGATAAGTTGGAACACAAAATGGATGATATTACTGATTTGCACAATGCATTGGTGAATGAACACAAGGTGTTCAGACATAATAACTAGAGCACAATCTAGAAGACTTACAGGATCGACCAAAGAGTGAAAACATCAGGATTAGGGGGATTCTGGACTCTATACTCACCGCAGGTCTTGAACCTTATTTTAACCCCTTAAGGACACATGACATGTGTGACATGTCATGATTCCCTTTTATTCCAGAAGTTTGGTCCTTAAGGGGTTAAAGAGGACATGTTTCATGGTGTGGCCATTAACTACATTAACCATGCTACCTATTGAAGACTTCATAATTAACAGAATACAAAGGCTGCCAAAAAGCAAATCGGCTGCTTCATCAGCCCCAAAAGATGTGGTGGCCCGCATACATTACTTTACACACAAGACCAAAATACTCCAGGCGATATGCTCCTCCAAATCACTTTCAGATAAATTCTTCACAATACAAATTTATCCTGATTTATCCTCATTTACTTTAGACTGGCGAAGGGAGTTTTGCCCAATAACCCAAGTGCTGAGAGAACTCTGGATAATTCACAGATAGAGATACCCAAACTAATTGCATGTCACCCGTAACAAGACAACCAAGTCAATTTACTCACTGGCAAAAGGAACCAAACTCCTACAACTTTTACATTCCAACCTCCCTGCAACTCACAACAACGACCAAATCAAGCTTGACGAAGACCATCAAGGATGTCGGCACATATATTGTCAAGATTTCAAAGAACACCTGCATGACACGGTGGAAGCAGCTCTATTACCTTCTCTCAATTTTGAATGGTTCTTACCATATTTTCTCACTTAAAGTCATGCAGTAATGCAATACCTGTGCCACGTCAGTTAAGTTTAAAACTATTGTCCAGAAGCTCTGGAGTAGCAACGTCACATAGCTGTGAGCTACTACTATTGCCTCCACTGGTTAAGGGAGATATTTTTTATAGTACCTCATATTATATTATACCTGGTTGTGTTTATATTTTGTATCAGTTTATTATTACAAATTTTTTTGCAATGTTTGATTTATGGGAAAACTCTGTATATGGTGGATAAGGTGGATATCAGAGGACAGTTTCTTGCCAATGCCTCTTCCAATGGGATAAACTCTATAGCACATCTAGCACACTTAGAAAAAAAATACATAAGTTGACCCCTTCTTCACAAGTGAAGCTGGTTAAACAAGAATGCCACACTCAAATAAAAAAAAACAAAAAACGAAATTATGCTTAAACGATTAAAAGCAAAATTGTATTCAAATGGGAATAAAGAATGCCATATGCTGACTAAAAAGTTTGATAAACAAAAAGCATTTAAATCTATCCCATACTTGCTTGATGATAATCGCTACAAAATATATGTTGCGCGTCGCCAATGACTGAGCAAATTTTTAAAGCATGCTGCAGTTGAGTCTCCTTCCTGTAAACTCAACAGCCTGGTCCAGGAGATACAGAGTTTTTTTCTTCAGGGAACCCACAGACAATGCCGTTAGTAGATTTATAAGACTCAGTGCTATCACACAAGAGAGTGGCTGATGTGTTGTGGTCTAGTGGGGTGTCATACCAGGGAAACAAACTAAATGCACATCAGTGAATAGTACTCTGGAGTGCCATCAATTCGACGTGTGTTTTGGAGCAAATCGTGTCTTTCTCAAGAGATATAAACCATTTGCACCAAAACGAGCATCGAGTGAATGTCTCTTGAGAAAGGCACGATTTGCGCCGAAACCATCGTGGAATTGGTGGCACTCCAGAGCACTATTCACTGATGTGCACTTAGTTTGTTTCACGGTGTGGCTAGGTTGTTTGGCTATTTCAGCTTTAGGAAAGGGCTCCTTAGTGGGTACTGGGAACTGCCTCGAAGCAGATCAAGGGAGTTCTTAGTTTATCTAGCATTAAAAGTTATTCATAATCTATCTAATTTTATTAGGAGTCATAGGCAGAGTACATATCGACATTTTGTTTATCTAACTTAACGCTAGCCGGTACAAGATACCAACGGTATATCAACTTATGTTGGATCTCCAAATGTGTTGCGTATGAGGTTGTAGGACACATATGCCTGTTCCCATCTGTCCTCAGGTAAAGTCCTGCCTAGTTCTATGTGCCATCAGTGCGTGTGCGTATATTTGATGGGGTCAATGGTCTGTAAGAGGAGCTGCTACCCTAGTGATATCACTTTCTTGAGTGACTTTTTGTGAATGCACATCATATCAAAATCGGTCATTGGTTTTCTCAGTTTGGTGTTATGTTTGAGGTTATGCAAATAGTAGGTAGGATGGGAGATTGTATTCTGCTCGTAGATCTGGGGACGGCCTTATGTTCCCATCCTTGTATAGTTGTGCTACTGTGTGGATGTGTGGATGCCCCCCTGTATCCATGGACATTTGTCCACAGTAGGGATCATGATCGTCAAGGAGTTTATCGGAGTAGCCATTGGCACTGGGTGATAGTTAACCAAGTACGCCTTAGAGGAGTCCATTGTATGTAGGGTGTATTACGTTGTTGGCGGGAGGTGGTTCGTGTCTGGTCTGTGCGGCACAGCTGACAAAAATAGGGTGTGTAAGGACATTAGTTTTGCCCAAAATGATTCTATGGCTAGCCACTGAAGTGCCACTGAGGTGACATAGATTGTATTTTAAGTTGTGGTAGTATGGTGAGAACTGCCTCTCTTTGGTTTGATACTATATCTGGGAACCCAGGCCTCCCTATGCCGGTTTTCTCTGTATTAGTTTTGTCATGACTCTTGCTTTTTTATTTTGCCATGTGAATTTAACTAACAGGTTTGATAGCATCTTGAGAAACTCTTTGTGAAGGAAGATTTGTAGTGTTCAAAATAAATATTGTAGTTTGGGCAGAAGAGATATATTTATGGCTGCTATGCGGTCTACCCACAACAAATATTTCCCCTCCCACAATGTCAGAGTGGTTTTGAATACATTGATTAGAGGAACTTGATTGGTTTTGAACAGGTTAGATGGATTTTTGGTCATCTTTATGCCCAGGAAAGTTAGGAAATCATCTCGCCAGTCCAGGAGGAAAGCCTTCCTGAGAGTTTCGAACTGCGTGTTGGGTATGTTGACCCCCATGGCTTGTGTCTTGGTGACATTAAGTTTATAGTACAAGAGACGCCCATATGCTATGATGTGTCTCATAAAGTTAGGCATGGATATGTGCGGTTGTGTCAAGGTTAAAAAGACATCGTACGCAAAAAGGCTCAGTTTGTAATCCCTCTGGCCCAGTGGTATTCCGTGTATTGATGGTTCTGCTCGTATCTGGGCTGCCAGGGGCTCAAGTGCCAGGACATAAAGAAGTGGGGAAAAGGGGCAACCCTGGTGGGAGCCATTAGCTATTGTGAATGGATCAGAGCAAAATCCCGCAGTCATGACCCTGGCTGACAGATGGCTATACAGAGCCTCCACTATGTTTATGAAGTGCATAGGAAATCTGAATTTCTCTAGGACTGCTCATAGAAATGACCAGTACAGCCTGTTGAAGGCCTTCTCTGCATCTAGTGACATGAGAAGGCCTCCAACTCCCATCCTCTGGATGCTATGTAGCAGATTCAGGACCTTCCTGGTATTATCGGCTCCCTCTCTCCCTGCCACAAACCCTACCTGATCATCATGGATCAGGGATGGTAAGATAGTGCTTAGGCATCTTGCATATACCTTCGCGTAGAGTTTGGCATCTGTGTTTAGCAGGCATATCAATCTAAAGTTAATGCATTGTGCTGGTGATTTTCCCGCTTAAGGTAGTGTTATAATGTGCGCTAGCAGCAGTTCTGGGTAGCGTAGTTAAACAGGGAAGTCAGGGGGGCAGCTAGAATTGATATAAATTGTTTGTAGTATAAATTTGTGAACCCATCTGATCCTGGGCTTTTGTTGGATGGCAGTGATTGTACAGCTGCTTCAACTTCAGTGGTCGTGATGGGGGCTTGGAGTGTGGCGAATTGATCCGAGGTGAGGCTCAGTAGCACTGTGTCCTTAAGATATTCAATAATCTCCTCTTTGGTCGGGTTGTGTATTTGGTCATGTTGTGCTAGGTTATAGAACTTTTCCTCCTATATCTGTTCCTGTACATTTAGTGATCCATATGTCTGGTACGCGCGTGTAAGTCCTCCTTCCCTATATCAATATTGTTAGAGATCAGTGATATGACTAGTAGGGGACACATGCCTAGTCCGGAGTTGTGTGTGCTGTCACTGAGCATTATTCCGTGCATTGGTTGTGTGCCAAATTAGGCTGCAGCAATACTCAACATTCCATTAGCTTAATACCATAAAGTAACCCAGTAGTAACTTCAGTAAATAGTTACATTATCAGTCTTAACTAGGTGTGTAATGAGAGTGTAAGTATGATGCGGGGTGTAACTCACACCATTTGACACTTCCCTGTATTGAGTCTCTGCGGGGTGCACACTCAGGGTTGTGTGGTAGGCCTTCGTCCTAAGGTACGCGCGTTTTTCCACTCAGGCTGCAGCTTGGCGGATTCCTGTTGATTTCTGCCTTAGTGTAGTGGGATGCCCCATCTCTTCAAGATTCTACCGTTCTCTGGGGATGCAAAAGTGTGCAAAGTCCCATTTCTATGGATGATCAGACGGACGGGGTGTCCCCAGCGGTACAGCCCATTCTGCAGGCAAAGAGCGTCGTTGACCTCCTTGTACTCCTTCCTCTTCTGAAGGATGCAGATAGGTCTGTGAATAGCTGAACTGAGTGGTATTGGTCTGGGAGATTTTTGTTTTGTCTGGATGCCTTCTTTAATGCTTCCTTTGCGTGGAAATAGTGCATGCAGGTAAGTACATCCCTGGATGTTTCCTCTGGTAAGAATTTAGGTAAGAATTTAGGTTTTGTGACCCTGTGTGCTCTGTCCATTAACAGGACATCGGCAGGCAGGTCAAGGGCCAGGGCTTCAAAGTACCCTGTTAAGTATGCCATGAGGTCTGGTTGTTTCACCGTTTCGGGAATTCCTCTCAGTCTTATGTTCTGTCTCCGAGACCAGTCTTCCAGATCCATCAGCTTGGTTTGGCAGGACTCCTGTTGCTGTTCAATCT